GCAACTGAGACAGCTTCCTTCACTGACATACTGTTACTTCCACCAGCCAAATGGCCAGCTTGCACACACTGTGCTTCTTCACACAGCTCCCTTCCAGCTTGTGCCACTGTAGCTTCACAAGCATCACCAGCCGAGTCATCAGCCTCCAGAACTTTCTCTTTTTTCTTAGCTAACACTCCACTCTGGCCAGCCACTCCAGACTGCCCCTGAGAAACACTTCCCTGATCTCTGGGTTTTTTCTGCCCTGGTGTTGATTTCAGCCTCACCTTTGAGGCACTAGACTGGCCCTTAGAAGCCTCACTCACAGACACATGGCTACCTGCCACACGCCATGATTTGCTTGCTGCCTGTCTACGCTGGCGGGGAGTTCTTGTGCAAGAACACTGACATTCTAATGTGTGAAATCAGGGCTTCTTGCACAAGAACTATGATGCTCCCGCTCAGGAATAAGCCCCCCTGGGTATGTCTACACTACCACCCTAGTTCGAATTAGGGTGGTAATGTAGGAATACCGCACTTGCAAATGAAGCCCGGGATTTGAATTTCCCAGGCTTCATTTGCATAAGCCGGCCGGCGCCATTTTTAAATGCCGTCTCGTTCGAACCCCGTGCCGCGCAGCTACACGTGGCACGGGCTAGATAGTTCGAACTAGCAAGCCATTCCGCACTATCTGTACGCCTCGTGCAAAAGCACATCTCTTGTGCAAAGGCACATGTCAGTGTAGACACTCTCTTCTGGAAGAATTTTTGCACAAGAACTCTTCCGCAAAAGAGTTCTTGCGCAACATCATGCCAGTGTAGACGTAGCCTTAGAGACACTTTTTTTTTGGTTACAATAAGATTGACTAGTCCCAGAAAACTTCCCAGAGTCACCTGTACCCCCCTCACAGACCCCATACATGCTTTGGGGCTGTGTTACAACATCAGACCAATTATAGTCACACCACATACCCACACGGTTATACATCGAACTTTCAGGAGGCTACAATCCCTTCTGTGCTTCTATTCTCTTAGGTTGAAGTTCAAATCTGGCAGCTCCTTCCTCAGCTTCTCGGATTTCTCTGTACAACTTTGCCATTTTCTCTGCATGTTCTCGGTGTAGCCTTTGCTCTCTTTCAGCAGCTTCTCGGTCTAGCTTCTGTCTTCTTTGTTCTGCTAGCAGACGAAACTCCTTCGGTTCTCGTTTACATTTAAGTTGCATTCTCCACACTGGATCCTGCACTCTCATTTCTTCTGCAGCATTTCTGGCCATTAACAAAGATGCCAGCTCTGGATTAGAAGCTTCCTCATTAAAGGCAATGCCTCCTTCCAAGCACAAGACTTCCAGAGCCTTTCTGTCCAGATTTTCATACTGTAGCCAACCCATTGCAGCTGCTTTTTACCCAACCAAACTCTCACCATCAAAAATCAAATGTAGACAGTGTGAGGTCCTGATCCAAAGCTCAATTGACCAAGATCTGTGGATCCTGCCGACTACGCCACTGTGACGGACTGGGCCGGTCTGGGCACAGCTGAGGGCGTCCGCTCAGAGCGAATTGCTCAAATTCGGGGTTCCTTACAGCCCCCAGACTGGAGACCTTCCCAAACAGGACACAAACCAGTCCCACAGAGCACTTCAGCTGCCTGCCTGGAGCCTCACGAGCAAAACCCCTCCGACACCCAGCAATATCCATGCCTCAGATGGCCCCAGGCCTGCCCACAGGTGAGGGGTCTTAGAACCCAATCCCACCTACCCTGAACAAGTTCTGTCCGGTTCCAAGAAACCAGCCACAGATCCCTGGTCAATTTACCCTCCGGGTCTTACCCACAAATCATGCTGAGCCAATCCTTTAGAATCTAACATCTAAAGGTTTATTACTACCAGAAAGAAAAGCATGAGAGTGAGGTTGTCAAAGTTTCATACATTACATGCATCGAATCTCCCAGTTCTTGATGCAGGCTCGCAGTAGAGATGTTATAACTGCTGGCTTAAAAGTCTTTGGTGCACATCCTATGCCAGGATGGGTTCACAGTTCTTCCCGGCTCGTGATTCCGTGCGAGGCCACATCTGGGGTCAGGAGCAGATCTGCAGACCAACATGGAGTCGGCCACATGGCCTATTTAAACCTCCTTCCTGGGTCCTTCCAAGCTTGCTAGAGTCACATTGCCAGTGGGAAACACCTCCCATGGGTGCAGCAGTGATATGGCTGCTCCCCTCAAAATCCAGTAATGTGACAGGAGGATTGGGGGCCATTGTAGCACAGGAGATCGGAGGGGAGGAACACCCGGTGTATTTAAGCTGTAAGCTGTTCCCGCGGGAAAGGGGGCGTGCGACTGTGGAGAAAGCGGCTCTGGCAGTTAAATGGGCGGTGGGCGCTCTGCATTATTTTCTTTGAAGGTACTGTTTCACGTTGGTCACCGAGCACACCCCCCTGAAGTGGATCCACACAATGAAAGACACAAAACCCCGGATCCTACCGTGGTACTTGAGCCTTATCAGTTTCAGGTAGTACACCGTCCGGGGAAGGCCCACCAGAACACGGACTGCCTTTCGGTGTGTGACAGGGCACCGTTGCCCCGCACTTGGGGGAACCACGACCGGGGCTCCAGGAGGAAGCACCCTGAATAAACACCGGCCAGGCGCCTTGCGGAAAAACGGTGCCTGCCGGAGAGTCCGGAATGGCCGGGACTGAGGCAGGCCGGACGCAGGAGGGGGCGCAGCCAGATGACATCACGAGTCACGCCGGCGAGGACGACGCCGGTCGTGGCGTCATGACGGACCCCACAAGGGCAACGGGGAGTTCAAAAGGGGATAGGAACATAAGAACGGCCGTACTGGGTCAGACCAAAGGTCCATCTAGCCCAGTATCCTGTCTGCCGACAGTGGCCAGCACCAGGTGCCCCAGAGAGGGTGGACCGAAGACAATGATCAAGCGATTTGTCTCCGGACGGAGGGGGCAGAAGGGAGCAGCAGAGATGGACGAGGGGGGAGAAGGAGGCAGTGAGTTACTACAAGGGGGAGGCCCTCAGAGATGGGAGGGAGAAGGAAGTAACCCAGGGTAGGGCCGTGGAACCCATGAACAGGTAGTTTAGGGTCCGTGACCCCATCTGCTGGGTAGGGACGAAAGATTCCTATCCTTAGGGCCCTGGGTTGGGACTCGGGAAAGAGGGCGGGCCTGAGCCCCCTTCCCCCTCCCGGGGCGTGACTCGCCTGTGAGAAGGTTAGTCTCCACGAAGACGTTAATTGTATGTAACTGTATGTAATATTTGTAACTTTTGGGATGATTATAAATGAATGGGAATGGTGGTTGCACAATAAATAGCATCCAGGTCAAACCACCAGACCCTCAAATTAATTGGGGCCACAACTCGTGACACACATGACTGCCAGGAGCTGGCAGTAAGTGAATTTAGATTTTGCTTGGAGCAGAGGGTTGGAATAAGGGACCTCCTGAAGACTCTTCATTCTATGATTGGCCATGGCCAGAGACCAGCTAATGGGGCAGAGGGACCACTGGTCTGACCCAGTTTGGCCAGTCTGATCAAGCTCTGGACTGAAGAAAACTGGCAAGCTTTGAAAAAAGTTTTGGCCAAAAGAAATCTGATGAGGTTCAACAAGGACAAGTGCAGAGTCCTGCCCTTGGGACGGAAGAATCCCAAATACTGTTACAGGCTGGGGACCGACTGGCCAAGCAGCAGTTCAGATGTTCAGAAAAGGACCTGGCGGTTACAGTGGATGAGAAGCTGGAGATGAGTCAACAGGGAGCCCTTGTAGCCAAGAAGGTGAATGGCATATGACCTATGAAGCCAGGCTTCATGAACTGGGCTTGTTTAGTTTGGAAAAAAGAAGATTAAGGGGGGACATGATAGCGGTTTTCAAATATCTAAAACGGTGTCACAAGGAGGAAGGAGTTTGGAAAAAAGAAGATTAAGGGGGGACATGATAGTGGTTTTCAAATATCTAAAAGGGTGTCACAAGGAGGAAGGTGAAAATTTGTTCCTCTTGGTTTCTGAGGACAGGACATGGAGTAATGGGCTTAAAGTGCAGCAGGGGAGGTTTAGATTGGACATTAGGAAAAAATTCCTAACTGTCAGGGTGGTCAAATATTGGAATAAATTGCCAAGGGAGGTGGTGGAATCTCCCTCTCTGGAGATATTTAAGAACAGGTTAGATAGACATCTGTCAGGGATGGTGTAGACGGAGCTTGGTCCTGCCTTGAGGGCGGGGGGCTGGACTCGATGACCTCTCGAGGTCCCTTCCAGTCCTATTATTCTATGATTCTATGATTCTATGATTCTATATTAGGGTGCATTAGGAGGAGCATTGCCAGCAGATCCAGAGAAGTGATTATTCCCCTTTATTTGGCTCTGGGGAGGTCACATCTGGAGTATTGTGTCCAGTTCTGGGCCCCCCACTACAGAAAGGATGTGGACGCATTGGAGAGGGTCCAGCAGAGGGCAGCCAAAATGCTGAGGGGGCTGGAGCACATGACCTATGAGGTGGGGCTGAGGGATTTGGGCTTATTTAGTTTGCAGAAGAGAAGAGTGAGGGGGGATTTGAGAGCAGCCTCCAACTCCCTGAAGGGGGTTCCAGAGTGGCTGGAGAGAGGCTGGTCTCAGTAGTGGCAGGTGGCAGAACAAGGAGCAATGGGCTCAAATTACAGTGGGGGACATATAGGTTGGCGATTAGGAAAAACTGTTTCCCTAGGCGGGTAGTGAAGTGCTGGGCTGGCTTCCCTAGGGAGGGGGTGGAATCCCATCCCTAGAGGTGTTTAAGTCCCGACTTAACAAAGCCCTGGCTGGGCTGATTGAGTTGGCCTGGGCCTGTGTTGGGAGGGGGTTGGACTCGATGACTCCTGAGGTCTCTGCCAGCCCGGGGATTCCATGATCGAAGACATGCTGACCAGCTCTGCGCCTGTCCCTCAGTGGAGAGATGCTGGGAGGGAGCTGAGGTGGGCTGTGGCCTCCAGACATGATGGAGGGGAAGGTTTCTATGCACGCTCCAGGATGGCTGTGGCCAGGGAGGGCACTGAAGGATCCATTGGCTCAGTGAAGTTGCACCAGTGTTAATTAGGAACCCATTTCAGTGCACAACAAACACCACTTTCCAGAGGACTTGTGAACTGTGCTACCTACCCGTGTGCGGTACCTGCTTGTGCTCTTTATTATTCACACACACACATTTGCAGACAACCCTCCTTTAGATGGCGCTCCACAGGGTGCAGTCTGGAGAGGACCTGCAGAAGTGGCTGCATTTCCACCAGGAGGGGGACATCACACTACATGCCCTACCAGGGGACTGGTGTTCTTTGTGATGTGTTGCTCATGTCCATTCCACAACTGAGGTGCATGCTCACCTCGTGCACTGGTGCTGGAAATTGCCCCCCGCAGTATCCGTAGGGGAGAGGCTCTGGTGACCCCTGGCGTGGCGCCTCCATGGTGCGGTGTAAGGGGTGCCGCGCACTCCCTGCGCCCTCCGCTCCTTCTTGCTGGAACCTCCAACAGTGGGGAAGGAGGGTGGGTCATGCAATGGACACGAGCCACACGGCTCGAAGAACCCCGGTTCCAAACAAGACACCCATCTTGTCTTCTTCAAGCGCTTGCTCATGCCCAGGCCCCAACAGGTGGCTCTCTGCAGTAGCCACTGGGAGGTGGGCCGGAGTTCAGGGATCAGAGAGTGCAGCACTGCCAGCTGAACTCGGCGTCCTCTCTAGCCTGGGGTGAAAGCGCCGACGGCCATGCAGCTGTGTTAGGGCACTGCCAAAGCGGCTGCATCCTGGTCGCATGGGCTCTCATAACAGCAGTGTGGGGAAACCAGACAGGTCATAGCAGGCGCGGATGCAGGGGGTGATCCTGTTTGAAATTCTCTGGGTGGAGACAGGCTGGCCCGTCATCCACTCCACTGCAGAGACCAACAACTGGGTGGATTTCTGGAATGGCCTAGTTCTGTCTAGGTAAAAAGCCAGCATCTATCTCACCTCTAACATGGGCGGCTGTCTCTCCTCACTTCAAAAGCGGGGCTTGGGGCAGAGGGTGGTAGGGAGATGTCCTGGCCCCTATGCAAAGAGGACACTACCTTTGGAAGGAAGGCTGGGTGAGATCTAAGCTGAAACTTGTCCTTACGGAGACTGTGCACAGAGGTTCGGAGATCAGGGCCCAAATCTGAGACTCACCTGCCCGTTGTAATGACTATGAGGAAGGCCAGGTGTCCTCCAAGGGATGCCCTGTGAGTATAACCAGCTCCAAGTTCAGGTCCCATGAAGGGACTGGAGACGTGACCAAGGGGTAAAGCCACTCTAGGCCTCTGAGACACCTGGCCCGTCATGTTGTGGGAGAAGACCCTGTGGCCTTGAACAGTGGGAGAGAAGATGGAGATAGCCACCTTCAATGAGCAAGGCTTGCGCTAGGCCCTGGTTCTTCAAGTGGAGTAGATAATCCAGGATCAAATGGGCCGTAGCTGCTGAGGAGGAGATGCTGTGATCAGCCACCCAATGTGAGAACCTCGCCCATTTGGCCAGGTGGCTCTCTGATTTCTGCTCCTTAGGACCTGGCAGACTCCTTCTGACCACCTTGCCTGCCAGGTGAGGGTGAAAGACATAGCACTCTGGTGAGCAATGCCATCTCCTCTGGGGTATGTCTAGACTACATGGCTCCGTCGACCTCATTTCACGAGGCAGACCGGAGCAGTCGACAAAGGCTTCCCTTGTCGACCGCGGCGCGTCCAGACTGCCCCGCCGTGCCGCCAAACAGCTGATCAGCACAGCGCGGCGGCCAGTTTGATGGAAATGACGTGGCAATTATTTAAATCGCCGCTTCATTTTCCTATGTCTAGTAAACTCATCAACGTGGCTCCGTCGACGGAGTCCCTGGGTCCTGGAGGCCCCAAGGTGGGCTCCCCAGCCAAGGCCCAAGGCATTCGATACCAGCTGGGTGGTATGATGGTGGCTCTGGAATGGACCAGAACACTCCACCAGCGAAGGGGGTAAGAGCTCTGCTATAGAGGGTGCATATGAAGTCTGGCGTGATGTAAGATGTAAGCACATGCCTGGGAGGTGGAGACTTACTCTGGGTTTTGTCATGGGGAGCCGGGAGACCCCCTCAATGAGGCCTGCCAAAGCTCTGACCATTTCCTCGGGGAGGAATGGTCTGGCAGTCGTAGCGCTGAGTACCACCATGGACTTTATTTTCTGCACTGGTACTAATGTGAACTTGTCATTCACCAGCAGGCCTAGAGAGTGGCACGTGGTCAGCAGGGACCTGGAACTGCCCTGGATTAGCTGGTCATCAAGGTACAGAAAGATCTGGAGGTAACAACCACAACCAACATGCATTTGAGGACTCTTGGGGTGTGTCTAGACTACATGCCTCCGTCGACGAAGCCATGTAGATTAGACAGATAGGCAAAGGGAAATGAAGCCGCGATTTAAATAATCGCGGCTTCATTTAAATTTACATGGCTGCCGCGCTGAGCCGACAAACAGCTGATCAGCTGTTTGTCGGCTCAGCGCGGCAGCCATGTAAATTTAAATGAAGCCGCGATTATTTAAATCGCGGCTTCATTTCCCTTTGCCAAAAAACCAAACCTACATGGCTCTGTCGACGGAGCCATGTAGTTTAGACGTACCCTTGGAGCTGTCGACAGGCCAAATGAGAGGACCACAAACTGGCAGGACGGAAGGAAGCAAAGAACGTGCTTGTGGGGATGTGGATGTATGTACCCTGAAGGCAGAGGGCAGCACACCAGTCTCTGGGACCCAGGGAGGGAATGACTGAGGCCAGGGAAACCATGTGAAACTTCAGCCAAGGTAGGTACCAGTTGAGCTCTTGCAGGTTGAGCACAGGCCTGAGACTTCCTTTCACCTTGGGGCTAAGGAAATAAAGGGAGTAAAATCCCCTGTTCCTGAATTCCACAGCGGCCACTTCCACCACGAGTAGCTGTAGAAGTTGCTGCACCTCCTGGTCAAGAAGATGCTTGTGCAAGGGATCCCGGAAGAGGGATGGGGAGGGGGGGTGACTGAAGGGTGTATCCCTGAGAAATGATGTTGAGGACCCGTCAGTCTGGAGTTACAAATGCCCATGGCTGGGAAAAAAATGGGAAAGATGGTTGAAGAATCGTGTGTGTGTGTGGGGGGGGGATATAAGGGGGCGGGGAGGGGCATGAGTACTGGATCCACCATGCAGACTGGTAGGTTGCCCTGGAGCATCCCATCAAAACAGACACTTGCTAACCTGCTTCTCCTTGGAAGGGCCAGGCTGCGGGGCTGGCCGAGGGTGGTGAGAGGAGAGATTCCCATTGCTCCTCTGCAGCTGTGTGATGGCTCCTGGTGGGGTTGGTTCTCTTGACTCGGGGCCTGCTGGGGGATGGGGCTGGAGCATACAGACCAAGCCTCTTCAAGCTGGTCAAGCGCCATTGACACCACAGAGCTTGACACCTGTCTGTTCCGCAGACCAGGCCTTGCCATCCAATGGGAAACCCTGCAGCGAGCTCTGGGCCTCAATGGAGAGGATGGACCGAAGGAGCCAAGACGCTCTGTGCATCGAGACTGCAGAGGCCCTGGTTTGAGCAGCCAAGGTGGCCTGGAGAGCCACCCTGGCGGCCGCAGCCAGGGGCAGGTGACCATTTTGCGGGGCCTAGGGCAGCACAATTTCGCGGGGCCCCCCTTCACCACGGTGCATGCACGGGGGTTCTTGAAGTGCGGGGCCCGGGGCGGCCGCCCCGCTCGCCCTGCCCTAGAGCCGCCCCTGGCCGCAGCTCCTTCCTCCAGGAGCACTCCAAGTCCTGCCTGTTTTCTCAGGCAGGAAGGCCTCCACCTTGGACAGACCTGGCCCTACGTTGAAGTCGTGTTGCCCTAAGAGCACCTGGTGGGTCGCCGCCTGAGCTGGAAACTGGAGGACGAAGGAAGCTTGTGACCAATCTCTGGGAGTCCGTATTTGTAGGGTCACTGTGGGCCCTGGGAAGGGTCCTCGCAGCAGGAGGGAGGATGCTGGCCGAGGGGAAGGCCCCTAGCTTGGAGGCTGTCCCCGTGGGGATGTCTCCGCCCTCTGGGGCCCTGTGCAGCGCTTGGCTGCATGGCAGTGGCGGTCCCCGCTGCAGTGCCCACGCTAACCCCATGGAGCTGCCGGGTCTCCGAGGGACGAAGGCAGGGGGACAGTGATGGATTTACAGGCCCACTAAGGAGCGATGGGGCGCTGGCCCCTCAGCCACTCTGGAGCATGCTCCCTGCGGCCTGCTGCCAAGGGAGCTCTGCAGGGAGGAGAGTCTGGGGTGGGGCAGGACTGTGAGTAAGACTCTTCCTTCTGACTAATGGCTCCTTGAGGGGGGGCTGCGAAGCGCCCCATAGCCAGCGCCCCACACTGAGCTTGTGTAAGGGAAGGCTGGGGCCAAGCCCCGCACTGAAGGGGAGAGGGAGCAGCCCAGGGGACCGGTGATGGGGGAGGGCTTAGGTCCCACTCCCCTCTTTCTCCCACTGCCTGGGAGGTCACATTGGGTGATGAATTGTGGAGAGGCTATTTGGGTGCTGCCTGACCAGTAGGCCTGCTGATGCCCAAGCCAGGTCTGCAACAGAGGCTTCATGTCCCCGTGGCACCCCCCAAATCCTGGGCTACAGCAGGGATGGAAACTGTCCCCGGTGCCCTGAGGGCCACGCTGAGGTAAGGCAGCCTTCTTTAGACGGCCTCCGGGTGCCCCCAGCACCCCCCGCCCAGCGCCGCTCTCACCTCCGCCACGCTTCCTGCTCCAGCGCCTGAAAGGGGGAGCTGCTCGCGTCAGCCCTACGCCTCCCGAGCTGGAGGAAGTCTCCTCTGGCCCCTGCATCGCCACGTGGCCCCAGAGATGCATATGGGCCCGTGCCTCTACCAAGGGGGCTGCCATGCAGACCTCCCACAGCCAGGGAACCCCCCAGCACGGCACAGGCTGAGCCCAGCCATAGCCTTGCAGGGAGCCTTCCCTCCTTCCATGCCCATGACCGAGTTCAATGGTCCCACTACATCGCTCTTGAAAACTTACATCTTGATTGGTCATGTCCCAGTAGGGCCGCTCCCCGTAGGACATCACCTCCCACATGACGATGCCGTAGCTCCACGCGTCGCTGGCCGAGGTGAATTTCCGGTACTGAATTGCCTCCGGCGCCGTCCACCGGATCGGAATCTTCCCCCCCTGCGGGAAAGGAGCAGAGACGGCTGTGACTGGCGTAGCGGCCACGGCCAAGCTGCGACGTGGAGCCGCCAGGGCAGCCAGCTAGAGTCCTGAGCCCTGAAATGACAAATGCGCAGGGCTCCTCCGCACACTGACACAGGCGGCGAGGCAAGGCCTGCCCTTTGGGACTAGCGGGCTACCTGGACATGAGCCAATTTATCCCCCCGTCTTGCAGGGATGGAGCCCTGAGCTGACAGCCGGCCGCAAATGGCCGGGTTATATGAGAGTGCTGTCCTCCTACAGCCTGCTGCAGCCGAAGGCTTGTGGGGCCTGTAGTGGATCAGGACAGCGATACCGTAAATTCCAGATTCGCTGGTGGCTCCTGCTCCGCCAGCGATGATCAACATTCGCTGCCTGCGTTTTCGTAGGCACCCTCAGTATCTCGTGCCAGCTCGGTGCCGGGAGCTAGCACAGTAGACTTCACGAGAGCCCCCACAGACCACAGACTCAGCTAAGATCCGAAGGCACCCGAGTCGGATTTATTGTCGAATGTCGGTAGCCAATGGCCTCCGAGCCCCTACGAATTTTACCCGGGACAATGAACCCGGCTCAGTTGATGGTACTGAGTTCGCTATCGCCCCCTAGGTCAGCCAAAGAGTTACGTCAAGGTTCCCCAGCATTTATAGACAGAAATGAACAACCTGCGATACCCACTGTCCGGATCATCTTACGCACTAAGACACGTTTGGTGCCTCCCCTTGGACTGTCCTCCAAAGCAGCCACTGCCCCCTGTTCTGCTTTCACTCTTGTTTCCGACTATTTTATCATGTGCTCAGTGGGGTGTGCCTGCCCTGCCCTGCGGGAATCGATTCACATGTTCCGTGTGCTTCTACCGGTGCCAGCAACTCTAGTGCCAAGGGACAATGACTTGTACCAACATCTGCTTGTGACTCGGCCTGTCTGTCACTCAGCGTGTAACTCTTGCTCACTTTGGTGCAAGCACCATGGCCTGGCTTCAGGCTCTTTCTTTCTCCTTCAGGGCCAATAGAGTCATTTGCAGAAAAATATGAAACTACAGGAAGCTCTGAGTGGTCTCTTGAGTTTCTCTCCACCCTCTTGCTTTCAGCTCCGTATCACAGTGGAAGGGCACAGGCGGTCCTGTTTAACTGCTCGCGGTGTGCAGGGTGCATGACGCCCCGGGGCGAGAGTTCTCACGCTGGAAAATTTCTGGTTGTCTTTTTGTAACACAGAGTCAGAGAGGCCCAAGTTGGGCAGCTACCGTCCTGCCAACAGAGCCCATGCACTGGAGTCACTGCTGGCTTACGCAGGCTGAAGTGCAGCAGATCTGGCCCATGAGAAGAATTACCTGCCCCCTCTTACTACAGGTCCTGTGGGGTGGAACAAGCTCAGACCACTACAGATCTAGACACAGGAGCAATACCATTACCCACAATGCTCCCTGGGCTTTGATCAGACCCACTGAACTTCAGACCTAAGGGTTTGAGCAGAGGTGTCCCGAGAGAGACGGATGCAGCGAGTGCCCAAGGACCCAGACTGGGGTTGAGGACGTTCCAGAGGCCTAGGCAGAGAAAGCCTTTCCATCCGCCACACAAGGCCAGCACTACCGGCCAGCACTGTGTCCCTGTCAGCACAGCTCTCCCCTCTGCAGGGCAGCTGCCATGCCCAGTCTTCTGGGCTCGCTCTGGGTCATTCCAGCATTTCTCCAGGCCAACTGCTACTTGTGCCAGGAGGCAAAGGCTCACAGTGCTGTGTCTCTCCCCTCCCTTCCTCACGGAGCGCCAGCCGTGCAGAGCAGGAGAGAGTGGAAGTGCACCTTGGCTGCGTGGCTGTTACTCGCGCATGAGCCCCTGCCCAAGCGAAAGCATGTGCCTTGTCCCTCTGCAAGCTTGGCAAACGCTCACCTTTGGGGGGGACTTGGAAAGCTGAAAACACTTACGAGACAAATTAAGTTGTGAGAAAAACATTACATAGAAAAATGTTAATAATAATTGGGAATTGTTTGAAAATACTTTTCTAGATGCCAAAAAGCCAACAATCTCACGATCTAGAAAAAAGGTCACACTGATTGAACAAACAGCTTGGCTTAGAGAGGAGGAGAAATCAGACCTAAAAAACTTACAGCAAATCGAAGAATAGGAAGTTGATAGTAATGCATATAAACCAGAATTTAAAAATTATAGAAAATTGATAAGGGAAGCAAAGGGACACAAGTGCTCTATGGTCAATAAAGTTAAGAAGAATAAGTGGTTTTAAAGTATAGTAGGAACAAGATAAACCCTGGCAATAGGATAGGATAAATGATTACTAGATGGAAATGGTAGAACAGTCAATAATAACGCAGAAAACCAGAAGTATTTGATAAATATTTTTGTTCAGAATTTGGGAAATGTCCAGCTGACTTAGCTATAACATTGGAAGCTAATGAAATACTTTCCATTCCAACCGTAACTAAGGAGGATGTTAAAAAGAAGCTCTTAAAGCTGGACAGTTTAAAATTAGCACTTCCTGATAACTTACATTCAAAAGGAGCTTTCTGAACTGTTAATGTTGATTTTCCAAGTCTTGGGAAAATTAGGAAGTTTCAGAGGACTGGAAAAAAATGAATGTGGGGGCCAATATTTAAAAGGAGTTTGCATGATGAAAGACTCGAAGAGTTTAGTCTGATTATCTTAACAAAGAGAAGATTAAGGGAGATTTGAACACAGTCCAGGGGGACGGAGAGCAAAGCGGCGGAACACGCAGGCAGCGGACAGCCCAGACGCATCTGGGCTGTCAGCTGGCCGCGTGCTCCGTGGCTTTGCTCTGCTCTGCTCTCCATCCCCTTGGTCTGCAGACCAGGGGGACGGGGAGCAGAGCAGAGCAAAGCCGCGGAGCATGCTGACTTGGGGATGCCTAGGGTTCTTAAGTTGAATCTGTATGTAAGTCAGAACTGGCTGAATCTGGACACCAGTTCCGACTTACATACAGATTCAACTTAAGAACAAACCTACAGTCCCTATCTTGTACGTAACCTGGGGACTGCCTGTACTGTGCTGACTTTATATTAAGAGCAAGATTCACTGTTTAAATTCTAGGGTACTAAGTAATAGCCAGCATGCAATTGTCAAGACCAAATCATGCCAAACCAACCTAATTTCCTTCTTTGACAGAGTTAATCAGCCGAGTGGATGGGGGGAAATAGGAGACATACTAAATCTTGATTTTAGTGACCCTTGTCACTCAGTCCCACAAGAAATTCTCACCAGCAAGCTAGGAAAATATGGTCTAAACTGTGCAGAACTAGTTGAAAAATTGTTCTCAAAGAATAGCTCTTAATGGTTCACTATCCAACTGGAAGTGTTCATCTGGTGATGACCAACAAGAATATGTCACAGGTCAGGGCAAGGCAATCTTTCCATAACAACGTGGCTACTGGAATGGAGAATATTCTCATGACATCTGTGGCGTGCAGACGAGAGGAGTTGCGAGCACTGTGGAGGGCAGGATTCGAATTCAAAGCAGCGCTGACACACTAGAGAATTAGCCTGGACTAGCACAAGTGCAGTGGAACACACCCAGGGCGCAGTGTGCAGTCCTTTTCTGCGCGTGGCAGAGCTCTGGCTGTGCCTCATGGGCCCTGGGCTTCTGGCGGACAGTGTCCATCCTCAGGCTCAGCACGTCCCACCGACGGCAGGTTCACAGCCTACTGAGCCACACTCATCACAGGCTAGTCCATAGGGTGGAGGTGAGGCCCCTTTGTAGTCCTGGTCTCCCTGTCCAGGGACAGACTGTGCAGTGGTGGGGGAACCCGGGCCCGCCCACTAGTCCGGGTTCTGGCCCAGGGACCCTAAGGCAGCAGCAACAGATGCAGTTTGTTCTACTCCCCGTCTGGCAACTACTTCCCTGGGCCACTTCTCCAAGCGATCCCGCCCAGCACCCTTCCTTTGGCACCTGAGCAGCTTATCCTGCTCCTCCACCGCACTCTGTCTGGCCCCCAGATCCCAGCGACCCCTCGCACTCTCCTGCCTTCCTCCTCGCACACCTCCGAACTACCAAGAGCAGCCCTTGAAGCCAGTCTCCTGCTGGTTCTAGGCCAGCCCCTGCCAATTTACCCTGGGAACAGAGACCTACTTAATCTAGGGCTCCCCTATGTCCCTTCGAATGCTCTTCTCTAGCCATCTGATCTCCCCGTCACATTGGGACGTTAACATCAAACGCACGATGAAAGAAGGGGAATAAAGACAGTTCCCTGGCTCCGTGCCGGGGGTTCCTCGAGACGTGGCGGGCTCATACACCTGCGCATCTCGAAGAACCCTGGTCACGGAACCACGGTAACTGGCTTTTCTTCGAGTGCCTTCTCAGGCCCATTCGACATAGGTGCCAGCTGCAACGCGGCTCTTCCCAAGGCAGGACCTCGGGGCTCGTGGCGTCGGGTGCTGCGCGGAGGACCAAGCTGCGGCCCTAGCCACATGCAGGGCAGGAACGCTGGCAAGGAAGGCCACGGAGGAGGCCTGCGTGCTGGTCGAGTGGGCACTGACACAAGGGCGTGTCCGAATACATGGGGTTCCCAGGCAAAGGCTCGGAGGAAGCTATCCTGAGCCAGGTGGAAGGCTGAGGCCACTTTAGGTAGGAAACCAGGCACCTGAGCCTTGTCTAGGGGCTCAGCAGGAGGGTCCAATGACGTCGCTGTGCTACGCGGTGCAGAGCGTGGCAGGGCGGGTCGCTCACTGGCCTGGGCTCATCGCCCCGACCCGAGGCTGGACCCTGCGGCGCCTGGACTAGCTACCGAATCACGGCGAAGCGACCGACAATGGAACTGTGCAGGGAACGGGAAATGTGCAAGAGCTCAGGCTGAGATGAGCAGGTTCCAAGCACCGTCACGGCAGGGCAGGGGCCAGAGGCGCCCTATATAGCGCAGCACGTGTGCGCCTGAGTCCTTTCCCCTGCGGGTGCTGCTGGGGGAACTTCCGGCATGGCGAGCCCCACGCTGCATGGGCCTGAGCAGCACCCGGGGTGAGAACCGGCCCAAAGGAGCATGAGTCCCGTTCCCAAGGCTGCTGTCAGGCTGGGTTGGATTCGTGGCTCTGTCCCACGGAAGGGGCGGGGGGGAGGCCTCAGCTGGAGAACCCGTTCAGTTCCGGGTGCCCAAGCAAGCGATTCCCTCGCTGCTGTTCCCTCCGCGGGGCAGGGGAGCGTGGGGAGGAAAGATGGAGGCAAGCAGAAGAGTCTGTCAAGCAGAAGAACAAAACCAATCAAAAGTGCCTCCAACCTGAGCTCCGGGGAGGGCCGGAAAGCTGAGCCTGTGGCCAAGAGGAACGGCTCCCTGGGCCGTGCTGGCGGTTCATGCTCGGAAGGAGACCCGCTGATCTCTAGGTCCACTGCAGGTGGACAAGAAACGAGCAAGGCGGGTTTAGGGTCGCTGGCGATGGAGTTCCCGGCTCATGCGGACGCGCTGAGGGAGAGGCTGACCAGCGCCATGGCAGCAGCACGGACTGTGCCCGACAGCCCCACAGGGCTCAGACGAGCAGGCGCTTGGCACAGCTGGCCCGTGCTCCCATCACAGGTAGCACAACTCGTCAGCCCTGGCTTGCCCAGAGGCAGCCCAGAAGGGCAGGGGGGGG